ATTTATTTATTTATTTATTTATTTATTTATTTATTTATTTATTTATTTATTTATTTATTTATTTATTTATTTTTGGTTTTTTGAGACAGTTTCTCTGTGTAACAGCCCTGGCTGTCCTGGAACTCGCTCTGTAGACCAGGCTAGCCTCGAACTCACAGAGATCCATCCACCTGCCTCTGCCTCTCGAGTGCTGGGATTAAAAGTGTGTGCCACCACACCAGGCTCCCTAGATGTTTTTAAAAGTAAAATTTGACTTTGTGTCTCTGAAGAGCAAAATTTAGAAGATAGCCACATACTGTCACATACTATTTTTAACATTTGGAAAACCTTCCCTATAAATTAAGTATATGGCTTGTTGTTTTAAAGATTAGACAAGATGTATGGTATGTGTATTGTGTTATAAGGCAGCGACTAGGTCCTATTCAGGATGATTGGAAATACCATATTCAGGGGCTGGAGAGATAGCTCAGTGGTTAAAAGCACTTGCTGCTCCTCTAAAGAACAGCACCCAGCTGATGGCTCTCAATCCACTGTAACTCTAGTTCCAGAGGATCCAATGTCCTTATCTGGCCTCTAGGACTCCTCGGACCTCCTCCAGCAGGCACTGCATTCATGTGATACACAGGTATACATGCAGGCAAAATAGCTATACAAAACTTTTAAAAGGAGTTGTAGCTTGCAAATCTGGTGGCTTATTTGGGAGATACTAAAGTAGGACTCTCAACTTCTGGTCGGTTCTCTGCCCCATAAATATAAGTACACAATAATTTTGGGACCATATTGGTTATGTTAAAACAAAACATACATACATATATACATACACACACATACATACAGATACACATATTTCTTTTTTTAAAAAAAGTTTATTATATATACAGTGTTCTGACTGCATGTATGCCTACAGGCTAGAAGAAGGTACTATATATCACTATAGATAGTTGTGAGCCACCATGTGATTGCTGGGCATTGAACTTAGGACCTCTGGAAGAGCAGCCAGTGCTCCTAACCTCTGAGCCATCTCTCCAGCCCGCACATTTATATATTTCTGAATAATGTAATTTATAAATTTTAGCTCTTTTTTAAAAAATTGTTTTAGTTTTACTTATTTTATGTGTTTGAGAGTTTTGCCTACATGTGTGTTTGTGCACCAGGTGTGTGACTGGTGTCTGGAGGCCAGAAGAGGGCATCAGACCCCCTGGAACTGGAGTTATGGATAGTTTTGAGCCAACATGTGAGTGCTAAGAATCAAACTTGAATCCTCTACAAAAACGACAGGCTGTTCTGAATTGTTGTGGCACTTCTCCAGCCCTAGGCGTAGCTCTTTTAAGTAAAGACCAAAACCAAACCAAAACAAAAAGCCCTAAAATGAAACTAATATATAAAATGAAAACATTGATTGAATATAGCAAGAAATGGTAATTTTTTTTTTTTGAGACAGGGTTTCTCTGTGTAGCTTTGTGCCTTTCCTGGAACTCACTTGGTAGCCCAGGCTGGCCTCGAACTCACAGAGATCCG